GTCAAATCAGCGGAAACTAAAGTTTTAATTAAATATATATATATATATATAACGCGCGACTCTTTGTTTTTCTGTGTTTGAGAGTTTATACCTGTGGACACGATTCGTGAATTATAGAGGGACCAAGGACCCGGTAAACCTGGAACCATTTGGTTTGAATTTCGCTCAAAGCTACTCGGGGGCTATATCCGATGTACACCACTAACTATAGCACAATACACAGATTAATGCCTGATATACTTCACTAATGACAGCACAATACACAGATTAATATCTGATGTACACCACTAACGATAGCACAATACACAGATTAATGCCTGATATACACCACTAATGACAGCACAATACACAGATTAATGCCTGATATACTTCACTAATGACAGCACAATACACAGATTAATGCCTGATATATACCACTAACTATAGCACAATACACAGATTAATGCCTGATGTACACCACTAACTATAGCACAATACACAGATTAATGCCTGATATACTTCACTAATGACAGCACAATACACAGATTAATATCTGATGTACACCACTAACTATAGCACAATACACAGATTAATATCTGATGTACACCACTAACGATAGCACAATACACAGATTAATGCCTGATATATACCACTAACTATAGCACAATACACAGATTAATGCCTGATATATACCACTAACTATAGCACAATACACAGATTAATGCCTGATGTACACCACTAACGATAGCACAATACACAGATTAATATCTGATGTACACCACTAACGATAGCACAATACACAGATTAATATCTGATGTACACCACTAACGACAGCACAATACACAGATTAATATCTGATGTACACCACTAACGATAGCACAATACACAGATTAATGCCTGATATACTTCACTAACGATAGCACAATACACAGATTAATGCCTGATATACTTCACTAACGATAGCACAATACACAGATTAATGCCTGATATACTTCACTAACGATAGCACAATACACAGATTAATGCCTGATATACTTCACTAACTATAGCACAATACACAGATTAATGCCTGATAAACACCACTAACTATAGCACAATACACAGATTAATGCCTGATAAACACCACTAACGATAGCACAATACACAGATTAATATCTGATGTACACCACTAACGATAGCACAACACAGAAATGAATATCTGATATACACCACTAACGTTAGTACAACACATAAATTAATATCTGATATACACCACTAACGTTAGTACAATACAGAAATTAATATCTGATGTACACGACTAACGATAGCACAACACAGAAATTAATATCTGATGTACACCACTAACGATAGCACAATACACAGATTAATGCCTGATAAACACCACTAACGATAGCACAATACAGAAATTAATATCTGATATACACCACTAACGATAGTACAATACAGAAATTAATAATTTAGCCGTGAAAGACTAGAGGGAAGGCAAGCTAGTCATCACCACTCACCGCCAACTCTTTTTTTACCAATGAATAGTGTGATTGACCATCACATTATAACGGCTGAAAGGGTGAACAGATTGCGATTCGAGTGCTCTAACCACTAGCCCCCTCCCCCACTAGAATAAAACTGTGAACCCCTCCTTTTAATCACGTCTACGCGAATTATTGAAACATTTAAACGTTAATTAACCTTGATCTATTATTTTATCTAATAAAAGGAAGAATCCAACGTT